ACATGGATGCTCTAATATAGCGCGAGTGGTGCAGGGATGGCGGCGACCGACCGCTGCGGTCACACGCAGATCAGACGAAATTATAACCCGCCGGTTCCGGCTGCTTGAAGAAAATCAGTTCAATAAAATCCTAAATTTTAAGCCGCGACGCAAGTGCAAGGTCCATTGTCATTGTCACTTTGTCATCAACATTGTCTTATGTTGATGAATACAGAAGATGAATAGCAATAAACGTGTAGTGAATTTATGCAGCGAATCACATAATGCATGACGACTGGAGACTCAAACGGATTGCTTTGCAGTGCAGTACCGTACCGCATTTCCCACTTGCGACTCATTTCACCCTTCTAAATGCGCGGTCGTCAAGTCTAAACGCATGGTGTTCTGCGTAAAGACCACGAACCTGGCTTTCTCCGAGGGCAAACGATTTCTCGGTATGTATGTCCTGTCTAACTGACCAACTAACTGAGGTTTTTGTAATCTGTGCTGGTTGCTGGATCACTACTCACACTTTGATGCATCGCTGGATCACTACTCACACTTTGATGCATACCCCGTCCAGGGCCCAATCTCACCAAGTGCGGTAAACTCATTTTGCGGTAACCTACCCCAAAACGAATCTCACCACTGCCGTAATTTTTTATGTTACCGCATCGAAATAACCCCATGGGATAGCTTCGGTTTTACTGCAAATTCTTCATGTGCGCAGCTGCTCACGGCCCGAAAGCAAGTAAACAAACCAAACAATCAGCTGATTGCCCCCAAATGTCGGACAAAAATTACTGCAGACATTTGTGCCGTAATCTCTAAATTTTATACTAATTGTGAGCAAGAATCAACAATTAAAGATGTAATAAGAACTTTATAAGAAAGAAAAGAAATAAGTTTCTTTTTTAAGATTATTTTTATTGCAGCCTGCGCCACCTATGCTTCCTATTTGCAGTACCCAAAACAGCATGCAGATGTCGCCCGTGAGTCTTGGAAACTGAGGTGCCGCTTGGAAAGAAGAAACACGCTCTCGTTGCCATGGCGACAAAACAATTGCGTTCTTTATATGGCGCCGGCGTGATTAGCAGCTTTTCTACCAATCCGAAGCGTCGAAAAATGGGGTTCTTTTGCAGGATTTGCACAAAATGCGGTAAATTACAGCATGGGGTAGTCTGGGTTGGTGAGACTGGATTATTTGCTTGGGGTTATATCGGTGCGGTAACTTACCGCAACCCCAAACGAGTTTACTGCACTTGGTGAGATTGGGCCCAGGTTCCAACCATTGCCGTCGGCTCACGCTTCAGAGTCCTTATCCAAAAGGTATTATAGGTATGTACAGGGGGCGTCGAAGTCTAGTTCCTACCAACCTGGCACTCCCATGCTTACGTCACCACGAGGACGCCCGAGGGCATTTACGTGTTGAAGATAGGGAAATTGCCATAGTTTAGAGCCGCCTGGAGGGCAACCTTGAGATAAATGATAATGTAAATGTGTGCTAATATGATCATCAACATGTTATTTATCCAAATCCAGGGCCAATTAATCGATATCTTGTCACGTTTTCCAGTGGTGATGCGCTAACTTTCGTGGTTCTTGCAGACAATAAGGGTGTTTCATAGTGCGATTCAGCCGCATTATCGACTTTAATGCCATAAACCGCCACGGAACATATGATTTGCAGCTGCCTGGCGTGATAGCTGCCAGTAGGGCTCCGGAGTCGGAGTCATGAAGTCGGTTGGAGTTGACAGTTCTGACCTGAGTCGTCGAGTCGGAGTCAGAGTCGATTTTAAAAGCTGGAGTCTGAGTCAGTCACCGAAATTCGATCCCCTCCGCAGACCTTTCAGGGTTCCGTAGTCGGAGTTGTAGTCGGTCGGAGTCGACAGTTCTGACCAGAGTCAGAGTCAGAGTCGATTTTGAAAGCCAGAGTCGGAGTCGGAGTCACCAAAAATCCATTGCCTCTGCAGACCTGCTAGGGCTGTGGAGTCGGAGTCGGTCAGAGCCAACATTTGAAATCAACGTCAGAGTTGCTTTTTGAAAGTCTGAGTCAGAGTCGGAGTCATCAAGAAACCCATGGACGATCCGCAGTACCATGCAGTAAGGGCGCTGCCGATCGATGCCCTGAAATTGCCTATGATTTATGAATTGAATGAATAGATGGCAATTAATTAGGTACCTGCTATTATTCATCCCTTGCCACTTGGAGGACTTACTTTCAGTAGAAAAAGACGCATTATTTGTTTGTTTATTTATTGACAAATATTTTTTAGCAGTTAGGGATACAGACACAAAACACAATGATAGCCACCTCGCTGGTGCAAATCATTGCTAGATAATGTTGAAATGTGTTGCCCTTGAAGGATCTGCTGATTTTCCTGGCGACTCTCGTTTTCAAGTAACTACTGGTCTTGTAGGATCTCTTGATCAAGATTACTTTACTACTCAGGTTGGTTCACTAGGGAAATAAAGGCGCCGTGGTGACGTCACGGATTTGGTAGCAATCTGGTAGCAATTTTTGCAGACATCAATGGCGCACGTGTTGTTTGATCGTCGCCAATACTATTTTACTGCACTATTTTGTTATTTCACTGCAATGTATTGTACATAACATTTGAAAATTAAAATAAAGAAATATTCGTAACCCAGCAAGTCAGTTATTCTTTGAGGCAGCACTCTGTCAGCATTGAGCCTTCAGAATGTGTTATTTGATAGACTTTCCCACATTTTCTACTCTTGTGGAAAATTTTCTTAGTCATCAAAAATGTATGCACATATGAATAATTAGAACTTCATTTTCAAAGTTTTATAGAAATAAGATTTCACATTACATTATCATAAGGCTACCTGTCCATTTCGTCCAACCAATTAAATATTCATCCAGCAGAAGGCAGGTACCTCTGAGAAGGTACTGATATCTCTTATCTACTGTACCTACACCAATATTTCAGGAAAATGACAGAGACTGAGAAGCTATTAAAACTTCAGCGTATGAAAGGGATGTTATGGCTTATGCACATTGAAAAACATCAGATAATGCTTTTGAACCATCTCATTCACCAGCACACATCAATCCGGCTCCTGGCTTCTGTCAAGGAAACATTCCAAAATAATGCATTATTTTATTTCATTGACCACCTTGCAAAAGACAAACAGCAAACACATCACCACCAAAAACAAAAATAGTCAACAGGTAGGTACCAGCTGATCTAGCCGTGCTGTGTCATGTGCCTTTGAAAAACTTGAGCAGTCAGGGTTGAATAAACACCCCAAACTTAGCCATTCATGCATGAACAAGTGCAAATTCTGGTCGAGCATTTAAATAAAAATGAAACTAACAGCATTGTAGGTTACAATTATAAAAAAGGCAATTACAAAAAAACAGCAGAGCTTACTCTACAAGGCATAACCATTAATTTTATAACTGACATCCAAATTCGCATCTCCGAAGTTTAACCCACCTACCAGCCACCTGCACATTTCTGCGCACATGTGCTGCGCAGTGTGCACAGTCACTACACATTACACAATTATGAGAATTAAAATAGTTTTAAACAATCAAGCAAGTCAGGACTGGTATGCAGATTCACAAGTTCTCTCAACATCTTCAATTACCAACAATCAAGAGCACCTTGTGATCTCAGTAACTCCGCAGATCCATCTTCTGTTTTCCATTTTCAGTTTTTAATTGAAATATAAGTTCCATCTGGGAGACACATGTTGCATCATTATCTTTAAACAATTATTATGCTTGAACTTTTGATTTTTCATGTGAACTTCACTTCAAAAGTTGATTCAATTTTTTTTTTTTTTTGTTAGTGTCTTTTTTTATCATTTTATTAACACAATTCACATAAAACACAAACAAAAATAAGCATAAAACATTTTTGTGCTCCCGTCGGCGACCCGCCTGGCCAGGCCGGGACGATGTCAATCCGTGACATATGCCGTCCCGGCCCCGGGGAGAGCTGTGGGATACCTCCCCAGCCGGGGAGATCTGATGGCTACCTCCCCGGCGCTCCAGGCGGGCCGCCAGCCCCCGCCCGCACCGCCCGGCAAGCAGCCCCGGGCGGTGCCCCCTAACCACCGACCGGGCGAGCGAAGCGTCGACCCGTCTTGGTCGGCGCTCCGCACGCCCGGCCGGCCGACCGGCCCCTCACAGGAGGGGCCAGTCCCGGGTTGGCCCGGATGGGTCATGGGGGCGGGGGCTTGTAGCGCGCACATCGTTTTCCACTAACACTTTATATAACAAACACCATATGCATACATACAAAGGACAGTCATTTTAACATTGTGTATCATCGACACCTGACATTTGCCCCTTCCCCCCTTCCCATCGTAGGAAAAAAAACTGTACACATCATGTTGCACTACGCAAACATCGTGACACACAACAATAATTAGTCACAAAGTGCTTGTTTCATATTCTAAGGCGGTTACCTTTCTACACGCTCCGCTAAAGCGCAAAACAACGAGCCCCAGGTATCGTTGAATTTCGTTTCTCGATCATTTATTTTATAAGCATACCTTTCTACTTTAAGATAGTTGTACAGGTAAGTGACGAATGTGGGCTCAGATAAGTGACTATTGCATTCCCTCTTATACCATATAAACTGTTTTCCCAATGAAAGAATAGTATTGATGCGCTTGCAGACCGCGGAATCGTTGTGCTCAAAACCGGTGACTACGACTTTGTATGTAATATTGCGCCCGTTAAATAACTCACCAATACTGCTCCAAAAAGCCCTTACTCGGTGGCAATGCCAGAATAAATGTCCAATTGTTTCCACCTGGTGACAGTACGTACATCGATCCGTATCTTTGATGTTACAAGTAAAAAGAAGTTTGTTTGTTGGTAAAATTCTTTTTATGCATCTGTAATTCAACCATTTTAGATTAACATCTTCAACAGCGTAATGCAATCGTGCGTAAATAGCAGGCCAATTCAGCCGCCTTCCACCTTCAAGCTCTGCTTCCCACTTTGTGTGCGATTTTTCACCCCGAGTAGCATCTAATACTTGTTCTAATAACTTGGAGTATGCCCATCTTGCTGGTTTAGATGAATTTTGCAACTGTTCTATAGATGTTGCATTGACACTTCTCTGAAGGTTTCGTATTTTATTGCTCCAAGCGGTTGGCACTGCGTTTTTTATTGCCGCTGAAACCATTGGGTGCACACCAAATTTTTGTGAAATTTCATTGACTGTCATTAATTCTTTCTTTCGTAAGTTACATATATCTGCTAGTCTAATGATACCTTTTTCTATTAGATGTTTCCTGTTGATATTGGCATTGCTTTCTATGTTCAAATCTTTGTTCGCCCATAATATGCTATTTTGCAATTGATCTGTGGCACTAAGATTAGCTCCGTTAATGTTATTCCATGCAATGCACGTTTCCTCCCAAAAAGTATTCTTTACCGTGTTTTTTATGTACTTTGCATTTGTATTGCAGTGAAACAGCGTTATGTCGTCATTTAGAAAAAGCATTGGGGTCACCAGGCCCTTCCACTTAGCATCGTGGCTTTTATCTAGGAGTCTTTTTATCCAGGTAACCTTTAAACTCTGTGCCTGAAGTGCTAAGTCTGGCACCTTTAGGCCGCCACCTTTATATTTACTTTTTAATGTCATACGTTTGACTTTATCTTTCTTTCCGCCCCATATGAATTTGAACATGAGCTTTTCTACTTCTTTTATAAATGGTTTTGGAGGAGCTGGAAGCACTGTCATAACATACACCAGCTGAGATATCAATTCGGTTTTCAAAAGGTGAACGCGCCCGTATGGAGTAAGACCGCGACCTATCCATGGCGCTAGTTTATCCTTCATTATGACAAATTTCTCATTATAATTTATTTCTGAAATGTTAATATTCGGGTTGTTAGATACCTTCACGCCCAATACATTAATGGGTGTCGTTGGCCACTGGATATTAAATTGCGTGCAAATCGGCTTTCTTAAATGCCCGTTCCTACCCAACCATAGAGCTTGTGACTTATGCCGGTTCAATTTCAGCCCAGATGCTGTTTCGAAGTCCTCAAAGGTATCCATACATTTATTTAGAGATAGCTCAGATCCATCCATGATAATCGTTAAGTCGTCAGCGTAGCTAGATACTTTAACATTTGCTCCGTTAATTGTCAGTCCTTTAATTGCATTTTCTTTACGAATTCTCTCTAGAAGTGGTTCAAAGCATATGATAAATAAAAGACAACTCAAAGGGCATCCCTGTCTAAGGCCTCGCTCAATTTTATACGGGCTTGACAATTTACCGTTTATTTGCACATTTGCCTGACATGATGTATCCTGCCCACCATTGTAAATAATATCAATCCATCTGCAAAAGTCTCTTCCAAACCCAAATCGTTTCAATGTCTTTTTCATGTAAGACCAATCAACGCTATCGTAAGCCTTTTCTTGAAAGGATTCAATTTTTAAAGTTGATATAGGTAATTTGTATAATGCTACGATCACGGCGCATCAAATCACAGATAACTTGAAAATAACCAAGCAAAAGCCACATTCTTCAGCAAACTATGAGAGCTATCTGATCCATGCTGCGATGAAATAATTGAAAATCGCCAAAATCAGTCGAAATATGACAATTAAATTAATATTAACTTCACAAAACTCTGATTTGTGAGGCAATGCGCAACAGAAATGCGAGGGAATATGGTAGTAATCTGGTAGCAATTATGAAGGATTTCCCCTGTAGCTGATAAAAATCACAAGAAACAATTTTTTTAACGCAGAGGAAATCCTTTATTATGAGTTGCAAGGACCATTTGATAGGCCCATTTTAGTCAAATATAGGCCGATTGTTTCGATTTCAACCCCATTTATCGTAATGAGACGAATCCATTGGCTTAGTGGTATGTCTTTTGAACACATGTAGGCCTTAGATTTCTCCTTAGCCCGCCTAAAACACACCATGCTTTGCATGCATTTCTATGGGTGAAGGAAAATTCATGCGCCGTGATGACGTCACGGTAAAGGAATTCTGAAGCTCGTGAACGGGGGCTGCTCTTGATTGCTCACCGTCTGGCATATAGTTCCAAGGTTTTCTGAAAGCTAATCAAACGTTATCATGGCTGCTCTTGATGGCATGGCGCTTGCTGGTTCTGGGCTCTTTATTGGTGGTTCTTGCGTCTGATCCTGTTGCTTCATGTTTCATCATATCACATTAAATTTATAATGGAACAGACACTTCTACCTTTTATTTCACGATCAGTCGACTTGCATTTACCCCTGTGGCCTGCTGGCCCTTTTATTTCCACGATAGAATCTACCAATTATTGAAAAAGCCTCGGATAAAAAAGCAAGAAAAGTATGTCAAGTTAAATAATTGAGACGGTTCTAGAAAACCAGAAAAAAAATATCAAACAGCCTGTCCATCTCACTTCCCTCACTTCATAACAAAAACAAACCACGCAGCAAAACATGCGAAAGAGTCCTTAGCAACGCCTTAGCAACGCATTTGTCTGAAGTGCGCAATATGTGTCACATCTGGAAAATTTAGTAGCTACTTGATTATTCAACTAGAGTTGAACTATATAACCTAGGCTTTTATATAAAAAATAAGTGTTTGCTTATCGAATTTATAGTAACTGGTTGCTTAACTTCGAAATAATGATTTATTACAGAAAAAGCTTGTTTGCGACATATTTGTAAAGAAACAACGGAAATAGCTTTGACTCGTACGCTATTCTAGTACATTTTTGGTAGAAAACTTCGTCCAACCTTATGTTTTAGGGCCTTGGGTATGTAGGTATATTATAGGTAGGTATGCGCTATGCATTGCAATAAATAGAGCCTATGTACTTACATGGGGCGAAAGCTATATCACGATCAAGATTACTTCTGACAATGATCGCTTATCACATATCACCTAGATTAAGCTTTGTTAATGTAAGTCTATTAAATTGTAAGCATGATTCTATCAGGCATAATCAACGGGCATCAGAGCGGTTACCCGACTTTGTTTAGCCATGTTACGTCTCTTGATCATTGATCAATTAGCGGTGCCAACATAATCGTCCGATTTTGGGACTTACATGAGCGATTTGCAAGGGGATTTAGTTCACTATAGATTGAGCGTAATCATTATTCATTCACCATCAATAGTCAATACGTGAGTACCTACAGGCCCTTGACTATTGAAGGTGGGGCTCGAGCTGCGCCTTGGAGAGAAGCGGGCTGCTTTTTTGAGGCAAGGAATATGGCTCAATCGAAATCCCCTTTGCTTATAAATACTTTAACTCTTCACATATATTTCGCCAGTTAAGTCCTCCTCATTAGTTTCGTCCTAAGTGTATGTGAAAAGTTGTAGAGCATTTTCGTTATCCAGTTTATGATAAGTGTTCTGAAACGACCAACGAATGTAACATTAGAGTCCCTGCTTAAGTGCTCGTATCACAGACAGACGTGAAAAATTACGCCTAGCAGTGTTACGCCAGACAACCTGCTCCGTTCGTCAACCTACACTTAGGCCTCGGCCTACATGCACTTCTCTATGAATAATTTTCCACAGACGCCGTGTGACAAATGGCAGCGCTATAGGGCCATTTATAACGGGCCTGCGTTAGCTTTGTGCTGTCATCGGAAACGTGCTACTGAAGCCGAGGCGGAGCCGCTGGAGAGTCGACTCCGGGCCGAGGGGCGTCATCCATCACGGAGAGGACTGAGAGCGGCATATCAAACGGACACACAGACGGACAGACAGACGGACAGACGGACAGACGGACGGACAGACGGACAGACGGACGGACAGACGGACGGACAGGACAGACGGACGGACGGACAGACGGACAGACGGACAGACGGACAGACGGACAGACGGACAGACGGACAGACGGACAGACGGACAGACGGACAGACGGATGGGCGGACGGACGGATGGGCGGACGGACGGATAGACGGATGGTCTGTCGGGCGGACAGACGGGCGGACAGACGGATGGACGGACAGACGGACAGACAGAGACAGACGGACAGACAGAGACAGACGGACAGACAGAGACAGACGGGCAGACAGAGACAGACGGACAGACAGAGACAGACGGACAGACGGACAGACAGGACAGACGGACAGACGGACAGACGGACGGACAGACAGCCGGACGGACGGACGGACGGACGGACGGACGGAAGGACAGACGAAAAGACGGACAGACGGACGGACAGGCGGACAGACGGAAAGACGGACAGACGGAAAGACAGAGACAGACGGACTGAGGACGGACGGACTGAGGACGGACGGGCAGACGAACAGACGAACAGACGGACAGACGGACAGACTGACAGACAGGCGGACGGACAGACGGACAGACAGGGCAGACGAAAAGACGGACAGACGGACAGACGGACAGACGGACAGACGGACAGGACAGACGGATAGACGGACAGACGGACAGACGGACGGACAGACGGACATATGGACAGACGGACGAACAAATTGACGGACAGACGGATGGGCGGACAGACTGACAGACGGGCGGACAGAGGACGGCGCCTAGCTCTCTCCAGTCCGATATGTTCACACTGCACATGGACGAAAAGAAGGAAGCACGAACGGAGCCAATCCGTCCCAGCGTGTCCGGCTGTGGAGCAGGCCCAGAGGAGGCGGCATCAAACAGTGGCGGACCGGGCGGCCGAACTTTGAGAGGACCACCACCACCGCTGCCGCCGCGCCGCCGCCTATTGATCCGACTCGGGCCCGGCGCCCAAACTCGGCCACCCGGCCCGAACGGGCCCCTGAGACACGTCCCCGCAGACGCACAACATATTACTGCAGATCGTTCCGCGGCCCGGCCGGACGCCGGAAAACACCGCGCCGCAGCAGAGAACACAAGGACGGCGTCTGACCCGCCGTCAGAGAATAAGCCGGCAATAAACGTCTGCAGTTGACTCAGGATGTAGACAGTAAACAGATTGCAGTTTTGTTCAAACAACACATTCAAACAATACATTCTGGGGCGATAACAGTACACCGCTTCGAAATTTACTTCTTGAGCATAACTGGACAGTGGACTTGAGCATAACTGGATCGTTCTAGGGCTCTTTATAAACCGTTCGGCATTTATGAGGAAATTAATGTCTTACGAATAGACGTTTTGCATGTTTCAAGTTATGTGAACTGTGAAACTGAGTCGTTCTTGAAACTTTCAAATCGTTTATGATGAATCTGTCAAGTAAGGACCGTTTTATGCTCGGAGAGATGCATTGAAGTGACATTAAAGTTTCTTACTGGACCTGGAATTAAACGAAATACATTATATAACTGATCATGTGAGCATCTCGGCTCAATTGATCTCAATTCTCAACATCACAACTTTGCTGAGTGTTAACTAAGCCTGCAACTGAGTTCGGTTCTGCAGTGTTGGCTGACGGGACTCTGTATAGGACTGTGCGAGATATGGTTGCCATGGATACGTGATCTGATGGACGGCTGTGACCCGGCCTCTCGAGGGGAGGGGGCTGTCAGGGGCAGTTGCCGGGGTCGGACGCGTGGTCCTGCTGCAGTGATTGATGGCACTGACGCAGTATCCGTTATCGTATTCACCAGTCCTTACCATACACACAGTCAGTTCCAGCAGTCATTATAATCCCCATGTCATACACAAAGCCTGTCCATTATATTCCCACATAACATCATATGCGGATTCTGGGGCGGCTGGTCAATTGAGTCATCAGTGGTCACACAGCTTCGGCATGGTTTCACGAGCTGCCCTCTACCAGCGTGGAGGCCGGCGCCCTCGCGGGTCGCCACACATGTCTCGGTGATCGCTCTGGGTGCAAGGGAGGCCCTCGAGCCCGGCCCAGTCACCTGTCTAACGCTGACCTCGCATTCTCGCCTTACGCGACATGAATGTTCCCTAGAAGCGAGGACCGTTTTAAAACCACGGCAAAGACGGACGGATGACTTATCCGGTCTACAGCCTATCGCACCAAGGCATGCTGCTGCACTACCTGCAGGGCATCCGAAGGCAGGCCTCACCAGAGGCGAAGAGCTCAAAGCTTAGCTCCGTGGCTTACCAAACAGGCCAGATCGAGGCCGGCAATCCAGTTCAGTCCAGTATAGCCCTGTTTTGGGTCCATTTCGCACGGATTAGTTCAGTTCAGTCTAGTTTTGTGCAGCCTTGACAAGTTCAATCCAGCTTAACCCTATTCCTGGCGGGGGGGGGGCCTCAGGAGC